CACGTATTCAGGCAGAGATCTTGGAGAAAAGAAAAAGAGCATCCCGTTTTATGACCCCATGCCTACAAACCGCAGATTTGTCAACCCTGAGGCAGTTGCCAGGCTGCGTAATGACTTGGAGCGCGTTGAGGAGAAGGCTCTGGCAGAGGACAAATCGGGAAAGATCAAGATGTATGGCAGCTCATGTTGGCTAAAGCTACTTGAACCTTCTCCTGTCCCAAGCTCAGATGACTCGGAATGTGACGAGGGCAGCAGCAGTGAGTCAGACAATGAGCGCCAGATGGGTGTACCAGAGTCTTCTTGTGAGGCGCCTGTGCCTATGGTCGCTATTGATCCGGAATCACCTGCTGATTTTTATGAACACCGTGTTGCTGTGTCCAGTGCCCGTGCAGCTGAAATTGCAAGGGAGAAGAGGGACAGTCAGCTAACCTCTCCTGGTACAATGAGCGGTGACTACGAGTGACTGCCACACTTGTTAAGAGCATTGCAAGCCGACGAAGTGATGATTTCTCCACCATCATCAACAGGAAATTGGCTCCACCGCAGCATCCTACAGCGGCTATGAAGTATGGCTTAGCGCATGAACGTGATGCTGTCAAAGCCTACATCACACGTGCACAGACTTCGGATGTTCCTGTTGTCGAATCCTGTGGCCTTTTCATCCATCCAACCAAACCATGGCTTAGTGCTTCGCCTGATGGTCTCGTCATGGTCAATGGCAAACTGCAGCGTGTGGTGGAAATCAAGTGTCCTTTCACCATGCGGAATGGTATGTCGCTTCGTGAGTTTGCTGGACGGCGGACTTCATGCTTGACGGATGTTGATGGCAATTTGGTCCTCAAGCGAACGCACACCTACTACTACCAAGTTCAAACGCAGATGTTTGTTTGCGGTGTGGAGGCTGCCGACTTTGTCATATTTCCAGATGGTCTGTTTGTGGAAACTGTCGCTGTTGATCATTCCCTTGTGAAGGAGTTTCTGCCCCGACTGGAGACATTTTATTTCTCGCATCACCTTCCGGCCGTTCATGCTGCTCTAATGTGATGTTGTTCTTAATGTCAACACTGGACTTCTTTGGAACTTTCTTTTCCTAGTTACTTCACCATAGCACTCTTCGAGAACTCACAATCTTCTTTCAAAGTGATTGTTTTTCCATTCAATCACAAAAATTAATACATTGTTTGTACTCGTGGAGTACTGAACACGATTAGTAGGCGTCTGAGTGCTGGCGGGGTAAAGGACTGGTTTATTGGATGTGCCAACAGGAAGCACTAGTAAAAAGAATGGCAGCTTAGAACACCGTAGGTGACGAAATACAATAATGGTCAAATAATAGGGTGTGGGGTGGTGCCAAAACAAGAAAGAACAACAGAGTAATCACAACGCTCTCAACACAGCAAATAGAAAGAGTAATGTGCACAGTGCTAAGCTGCACCTAAATAATATAGTTTCTGGGAACACCACCGTTATCTGTGATAATAATAAAATGTTCGCTTATTTACATAATTATGTTACTTATTTATGTACATTGTTAAACAGGACAGGGCGATTTATGAATGAAGGTGTGAAAATTGTATTGACATCGAGACCATATCAGGTAGCAACCAGTGTGGGTTGGTAATTGCACAAAACACACGCTGAGAAGACAGCTTGCTCAAGAATATCAAATAAATTGTTGTCAAGGACCGTCCAGAAGACGATATTGCATGCTTACTTTGCCCACAACTCGGCACTTTGCCACGGAACGCGATTACATCATGTCTCCCAAATATGGGATTACGCAATGAGCTTATGCTTACGCAGTCTTTTCCCTTTGCCCGCCTCTAAGCGGTCAACTCGTGGAACTACAACAAACAATTTGTCAATTTGCTTGTATAAATCCATGGTAGGGTACAATTCCTTTTCCTCCAGAGCATCCCTTATGTGGAATGCCCTCCCTGCTCACTCATTTTCTACAGAACTTTTGCACGCTGTAAATGACGACAAATGGACTTTATCACTATATCCCCTCCTTTTTGAAAATGTATTTGTTTATTTGTTTCTCTTTGCCTCCAGCAATGTGTAATATTTATTTATTTTTTGCTTTGTTTTGGTTTACTGCCTCGGCTGGCTACCGCCCCCCTCCCTCCATATTGGCCTACATATTGGCCACGGGAAGGTGAAATAAATAAATAAATAAAATAAATAAATTTAATATGGCAATAAGTAGGACGAGCTGAAGCGACATGTGGACTACTTTATTAACAATGTAAGCGATGGAGACGATGCAAGAAACAACCTAAAGGGTAAGGAAAAATACATGTAAGAAGAAAAAGGGCAATGGAAAAAAAAGATGATTCGAACAAGTTTTCGTACAACACTCTTCAGGAATCACCGTTGTACTAAAGAACAAAATGAGAACAAAGGAAATAATATAGCAATCAAGGTAGGGTGACACGATACAATGACAGCACTAGAATATCGAGGTGCGATTTCTCACAAAAGTGTGCAGAAAACAAGGGTATACAAGTAAGAACTAAGCGTGACAAGTGTGTATCAGCAACAAAAAACAAAAAAGTGAGAACGAATGATAATAATAACAATAATAAACAAGAAGGTGACAAAACACATTTAGGCACAAGTGGCAACAACGTTGCCACACTACACAACAGAACATTATTTGAACAATTTTAGGGTAATAACACTATCTTTCTGGACACACAAATTCGGCTTATGAATGCGCTGACAAACAGCTTCCAAAACTTGTAACTGCAAAAGATAACCATGACGAGCACGGCACAAAACAGAAAAACAGGAATCAGAATAATTACGACAACAGTCAGTACTAGAAACCAAATGATTGTATACTGAAGACTTGTTATTACGAGACGGACGCACACAATCTCGACTCACGCGCACACCCTCACACTCCCTCTCACCCTCACTCAGCTCACCTTCTCCCTCACTGTCCGAATCAGAACCTGCTCCGTCATCCACCGCGGCTTGACTCTCCTCCTCACTTGCATCGTCCTGCGTCTCACCTTCACCACCCACGCCAACCCTGAATGCCGTTGCCTTCACGTCAGTCGTCGTCCTTTCCGATTGTTTCCTTTGTATTTTTACCGTGAATTCATAGTTCCGGTTGTAATCTGCTGTAGATCTCCGTGGTCTGTCATTTGCTGCTTTGTTTTGTGGATTAGTTGTTGTTGTTGTTGGATGTGAACCTGGTGTTATTGTTGGATGTGAAGCTGGTGTTGTTGTTGCCGCCATGGTTGTTGGTCTTTCTGTTGAATCCAGCTCTGGTTCCGGTGGGACAAATCGACCGCCGCGGGTGCTCCCCACCAACACAGACCTCGAAGGAGGAGGGTCAGGGGGAGGCAGAGGTGCTGTCACCACTCGAGGCACACATGTCGCTTCAGCTCGTCCTACTTATTGCCATATTAAAATTATTGTCTCCTCGTTGAATTTATAAATAAATTTCACCAAAAATATTTGAACAAACGGCGAGGAGACAACAATTTGATAACCGCAATCAGTAATACAAGCTGGATCGACATTTGTGTACACTGTATTCATGTATTGTAAAACTGTGGAGACAATGTGCAATAAAACGATGAAAAATGTGAAGAAATTGTGTAGAGAAAGAAAGGGATTCAAACAAGTTTTCGTACAACACTCATCAGGAATCGTCGTTGTACTAAAGGACACTGAAACAAAAATTGAACTATTATAGAAAATCTAAGTTAGAGAAATAACACTAAGAGCAACAACAGTGAAATTTACAAGTGTGAATTTTAACAATCAAAGCGAGAAATGAACAAAGGAGAAAGGAAGGAAAGACAACGTGATAACACATAACAGCAGTACATTAAACCTAGAACATTAACGGCCAAGCTTGGCCGCACTAAACAAGACACGTTACTTGAACAATTTCAACCCAATTATACTATCTTTCTGTACACACAAATTCGGCTTGTACAGACGCTGATAGATAGCTTCCAACACTTTTAACTGTAGTCCATAACCATGACGACCACGGCACAATACAGTGAACGAAGAGTCGGAATACGCACCGCAACAATCAGGACTAGCCAGCAGATGATTGTACACTGAAGACTTGCTACCACGAAACCTACGCACAACACTAACACTCTCACCGGCACTATGGTCGTCATGGTTATGGACTACAGTTAAAAGTGTTGGAAGCTATCTATCAGCGTCTGTACAAGCCGAATTTGTGTGTACAGAAAGATAGTATAATTGGGTTGAAATTGTTCAAGTAACGTGTCGTGTTTAGTGCGGCCAAGCTTGGCCGTTAATGTTCTAGGTTTAATGTACTGCTGTTATGTGTTATCACATTGTCTTTCCTTCCTTTCTCCTTTGTTCATTTCTCGCTTTGATTGTTAAAATTCACACTTGTAAATTTCACTGTTGTTGCTCTTAGTGTTATTTCTCTAACTTAGATTTTCTATAATAGTTCAATTTTTGTTTCAGTGTCCTTTAGTACAACGACGATTCCTGATGAGTGTTGTACGAAAACTTGTTTGAATCCCTTTCTTTCTCTATACAATTTCTTCACATTTTTCATCGTTTTATTGCACATTGTCTCCACAGTTTTACAATACATGAATACAGTGTACACAAATGTCGATCCAGCTTGTATTACTGATTGCGGTTTTCACCAATAAAATAAGGCTTTTTTTAAACATGAATATCGACGGACTTGCCCCTTCTGTTCATGCATTGCCCTGCTCTAGTAATGGTTCATGAATCCGCCCAGTCCACATTCCTTCTCCCTTTCTCTCCGTTTTTCTTTCTTTTAAGTTGCATCTTCCTCTCTGCTCTGTTTTATTTTCTCTTTTCGTTCGACCCTCTTGATATTTGAACTTTGTACTGTTGAGGCAACGAACTGAAATAATAAAAACCAAACCAAACCAACTGCTATATCCTAGACTGGGTGTTTTGTGCACTACCCGGAACTAAGAACCAACAACATTGTCCTTGTGGCTTGTCGTTTGTAGAGATTTGGATAATAATCAGATCCAGACTTTAAGTAATGGTGTGTTCACTGGTCTAACAAACCTCACAACACTGTAAGTATTCTCAATTACGCCATGGAACGCAGGGAACAGTTGTAGAACTGTGTACTTGTATAGAGTAGTGCTGAATATGTGATGAACAAACCTGGCATATCTCTGAGTATTATTATCTGCTGCACTGATTGAAGGGAACAGTTGTAGACGCTGTGTGTGAAATGCTTTGTTGTGAAGCCGCTGATTCTCGTAAGTGTCAGAAACGAACGAGCACACGGCACGAGGACAACTGCTTTTTCTTAACGGTATATTTCACTTGATCGAACATAATGACTCAGTCTAAGACCACCAGATAATTATAGCATGCAAATGACAGCGTACACAGTAAATCGCACACAGCGCATATAGCGTATACCGTGCATGATGCATCAGCGGTACGGCGGAGTCGAAATACGAAATTCAAGCGAATACCATGTCATCAGCGAGAACTTGTGGTTTTGTAAAATTCCCCCCCTCCCCAAAGGACTTCTCAGCGTCGTACAACAGCTCACAAGTCAAGCGATTCGGGGCTCACTACGTATAATCTGCTGCTGCAATGGTGACCAACGTGGAATATCAGTGCTCACCACTTCTGCCAACTCAATTGTTCCAAGCTCGTCGATGTAGGCTGTGACAAATGACACGGTCACAGGCTTACTGTTTCGACACGTTCCAGAAACTGGACCAGACAACACACAACCTATCTCTGTTTCCCACACAGTCTCGCCTTCTCCTTTCCTTAGGCAGAGACTCCAGCTTCTTTTAGGCGTGTCCGACTGATATCGACATGCACTGCGCCGATATAGTGGGCTTTAGACCTGATCCTTCCACTGGTTTCTTGGCAGTATCGCCCTGTCGTCCGTGTGCGACCTGGTAATACGCACCGTGCTCCTGAACCTGACGCAGAGACATCCTGTAGATCAGGTCAGTCTTCATCTCAGATTCACATTGTTCCAAGATCAACTGCTTTGCCATTGCTAGCAGCACATGGGTCATCTTACCAATCCTAGCGCTATACTTGGTGTCCACCTCACTATCTTCAGTCATAGTGAGCGTGGCCTCTAAATCATCGCCTCAGCGTCTGTTCAGCACCTGCATGAGCGACACTGACTCACGCTGCTATCTGGTGTTCACGAGATATTTGTGGCGCTGGCTACGGAGCGTCTCTGTAAGTTTGTATCCCTGGTGATGTTTGTGTCTGGAGAGCACAATTATAAGTGGTGCTCTTCAGGCGCAATCTTCCTCAGCCTACTCAAGCTCAACTGATGAGGGGTGAATTCCCCGACACAGTGTGTCTTGATCAGGGAGTGGTGCTTTTTTGCAGGTTTGCCAAGTGGACGGTTCGGTGGGCTTCTCATATACTCTTGGTGGCAGTCGTGAGTCAGTGAATTGAGAATTCGAGTCGGCAGGAATAGTGCAAAAACCCACATAGGGAGCAACACAGACTTCCCCCATTATCGCCGAAGTCGCACAAACCTCTTCTTCACAATGTCTGTACCATACAGCAAATGGTTAATCAGGCATGTCTTGTCAGGTCCGATAATCTCTGATATAACAGCAAGGAGCCTTGTGCGTGTTGTGTAACGCACGCACAACAATTATTCACCACTACTACTCCGCACACAGCACTCACAACGGCGGACTCTGACTGGAAGGTAAATAAAAGGACTGAAACTTGGAAATCAATTATTTAGATAAGTATAGAGAAAACATCAACCGAACTTAATATTTACAGAACTAATCAACAAGGAGAAATAAAACTGGACCTCTCCACGGAAGCGGCGGGGCGGGGCTAGGCGACGTGGAAAAGTTCGAATGACGTTTGCGGGTACGCACGCAGCTCGGTCAATGGGGTTTCGGCCAGCAAGCGTGGGGTTGCTCACCTGTTCAGCAAGCGTAGTATACAAATATGGCTCCTCCATATGCATCAGAGATCGAGTGCAGTTCGTTTTTTCGAGCTCGTAGACTTTTTGCCTCTCTTTTAGCCCAGTCGGCATCAGGCCGGACTGGAGAAAGGTACATGTAGAGTATGTTTAGGTAGAAAGCAGTAGCAGTATAGTGTAGTTGCTGAGGTAGGACACCGGTGGAAGGCCGTCGTCATGGGTGAGACTTCAAGCGAAGCCCAGATGAAACTGCTTTGTTCCCTCCCAGGGATTGAGCACTCGCTTTTAGGAGTTGTGCAGACGCTATCTTTCCTAGCCACAGAATCCGCAGACAGTGCTTCGAGGATGAGCCACAGACTTTCAGAGCTATGTGGAGAAGTCAAAGGACTAAAGGAGGAATTGGTCACCCTCAAGGCATCCGCCAATGCGAAATCTATGAGCAGCAGCAGGCCAAGGTCAAGGGCAGTTGGAGCTGGACACGCAACAACGAGCGGCAGACCATCTGCAGCTGTCACGGGGACAAAGCACAGCATAGTACGTGCACCGTAGCACAGAACACTCGGCGGAAACTCCTTTTTTTCTTGAGAGCGTTGGAACAATAAAAATGATTCTTTTTAGGTACAAACCATGGAAATGATTAACTTTGATGAGCACAAGGAGAAACCAACAAAGCACCACTACTTGCTTCCTGATTGTCACTACATGATGATCAGACAAACGGGCTGTGGGAAGACAAACACCCTGTGTAATATGCTTCTACAATCATGGTTGAACTGTGATAAGGTCATCCTTTATACAATAACCCCTCAACAACCAAAATATCAACTTTTTGACGAGATTTACAATGGAATATCTCCTGGTAATCTTATCATTGAACAACCAGACAAGGTTTGTCCAATGGAGGATCTCGATGATCAGGAAAATAAGGTGATAATTTTTGATGACATCAAGATTGATAAAACGAACATGACAAAATTGATGGAATACTTCAGTCTTTCTCGGAGCAAGAAACGTAACTATATCTTTGTCAATCATACTGTGATGTACCGAAATATATCCGGAGAAATACCAAGTGCTTCCTGCTGTACAAGGGCTTAGACGACAGAGATGTTCAATGTCTAGCACACGATCACTCCAAAAATCTTAAGAAAACCGAGTTTGCGGAGGCCTATGAAATGGCAACAGAGAAATCACATTCATTTTTCATGCTTGATAAAACAGCAACATATCAGCCAGAGATGTATCGATGTGGATTCGATAGGTTCTTGGGAAAGTGAGAAGAAAAAAAATTTGGTAGATAATCATGCCACGTTTTACTCAAGTAGAAAATCCTGAACATCGGAAGGAGGTCATTGACACCTTTCTGACACACGAGAAAATCTCAAGCAACGTCAACTGGAAAAGGATCGGCAAACAATTCGACCTTGAGCGCTGTGGACTGGAGGCGGTTTGGCTCCAATTGCGGCCAGTGATCTTTCCCAAGCTCCCCCTCATCATCTGCTCTGTTTACAGACCCCCTGGAGACAGCATCTCCCAAGTCCAGGCATTTTGTGACCTCCTAGAGGACTCTGGCCAATATTAGCCTCCCAAATTCGGCGATTGTATTTGCAGGAGACTTTTTTTTTTTAATCATGGCCGCACATGGAGTGTTTTTTTTTTTTTTTTTTGCAATAACATGTTATTTATAAAGACAGGACAAGTGAATAATTAGTCAGTCCATTGTTCACGATGATCTCCGACGGTTACGTCGGCAAGCGAGCCTCCGCCACTGCCAAAGCAGCGTGGGCTCCGCAGGAGGGTGCAAATTTCAAACCAAAATTTAAACGCCTACAACCGCGAATGCACATGATACACGATTTCAGAAGGCTGAAGGAAATCCTGCATCTAACAAATGCCATAACATGAGAGTAATTTGCAGGAGACTTGAATGCTCGCCACTCTGACTGGTCTCCTAGTGACACGACGAATCGAGTTCCGTAACCTCTTCTCTTGTTTTGGCCTTGAGCAAATGGTGACATTCCCCACACACTTTACCCCCCACGGCTCAACATCGTGTATTGACGTTGTATTCACGGATCATCCTCACCTACTACTCTCTGTTACATCTGTTGCTCCTCTTGGTGCATCTGATCACGCACAGATCCTCAGTCATTTCCTACTGCCTACTGATTCTGTGTATCGTGAGGAACCTGCTGCAAATGGACATCCCGCTGCTGCACCCCGAAACCACTTCAGCAATGTTCCTGCAAAGTCGGAATATGACTTTAAATCCGTGCCATCTTGCGTCTGGGATAGTGTGAATGCAGAGCTCGCTGATATTGACTGGAGCTGGCACCTGCGTGCCAGCAACGTCAATGATGCACTTTCGCACTTTTCTTCCATTCTCAACAGTGCCCTTGAGAAGCACCTCTGGCCATTCGGAAAGCAGCCGTATTCTCACCGCTGCCCACGGCCCAGTCAGCCACCCTGGGTTGATGCCCATCTCCGCACAGCAATCAAGTGGAAATATGATCTCTATAGCATTTTTAAGAAGTACCCAACACAACAAAACAAACAAGCATACCAACAGCAGCGAAATATAGTGAAAACCCTGACGCGGACAAAGTACAGAGCTTATATCTGCTCAGTGCAAACTACTTTGCAGGGTGGACACCGTCCATCGATTCACCAGTTTGTGAGAAAAGCAAGAATTCGAAACGTATCACGGGAAAATCCGTCACTCACAACAGGGACTCAGCAAGCAGCTGACCCTTTGGCCAAAGCTACGGCCATTAGGCGCTGCATCTGCCGCTAGGGTTTATCGGGTGTTAGCGGCCGTCGTGAGTTCCCTTCGGGAACGGATACGATAATTTACTTTTACTTTACTTACGGCATTAAACGCCCAGTTTGCCTCTGTGACTCGGCCAGATGAACCGTTGCTATCTATTCCCCCTATTCTCACTCCCTCGGAGTCCTCAGCTTATTTCACGTCCGTCATCACCACAACTGCCACTGTCCGGCGTCATCTGAAGAAGCTTCCGACGTGCAAGGAATCTGATCCCGACTGCATCCCCAACCGGGTCCTAAAGGCCCTGGCACCATTCATAGCATTCCCTTTGTGCCATATTTTCACCATGTCATTTACCACGGGCATATTCC